AAGGAATAGTTATTCTCTAGCCATCACAAATTGCATGTTGTCATATGTCAGGTCTTTCAATAGGATGTGACTGACGTGCATGGTCACAACAATGTCACAACAGATTTCATCTGTGCATTGCCGAATAGAAAAGACACTAGTACTTAGTCATCTTTATCTCCATATTATTCAACTACTGTAATCTGTAAGGATTGGAATATTTTCGTGCAGGCCAACCCAAGTTTATTAACCAAGATAGTACTGTCAATATTGGTACAACTTCCCCATCTATAATAAGATTACACACATTCCCATTTACGAGGCAACGAGTGTGAAAGATATTTTCTTTTTGGTTGCTATCTTCTTGCTTGACTTGAACATTCAGTGTTCTTCGAACAACCAAAAATTGCCTTTGAACTGGATATTCAACATCTTCCTCAACATCTTGCAATGACAACATGCTATTAACACTATCACCTTCACTAGCATTCTCAATGTCACCATTATCTTTTAGCAGCATGATTCTCTGTTTAAGACATTATGATGCAACGTATCCGGAACCTAAACACCTGAAGCATTTGATGGTGCTATGCTTCGGATTAGAAGGAGGTGTTTCAGAATTACCTTTAGTGTCGGCCAGCTTCACTTCAGCCCTCTTGCCCTCAAATCCATCATCTTTACCTAGCTATTTAGGGAGGGAATTCAAAAATTCCCACGTTGCCCCTCTATGTTTTAGCTGCTTCTCAACTTTCATGGCAATGTGCACCATGTTCTCCAACTCCATATAATATTGCAATTCCACTATGTCGATTTCTCAGTTTAGATCACTTAAGAATCGTGCCATAGTGGCTTCGGGATCTTCGTCTATGTTGGGTCTGATCAATGCCATCTCCATCTTCTTGCCTTCTATGCCAGTCAGCTTCACTTCAGCCCTCTTGCCCTCAAATCCCTCATCCTTACCTGGCCATTTAGGGAGGGAAGTTGAAAATCCCCATGCTACTCCTCTATGTTTTAACTATCTCTCAACTTTCATGGCCATGCGCATCATGTTCTTCAACTCTATGTAATGTTGCAATTTCTCAGTTTAGACCACTTAAGAACTATGCCGTAGTGGCTTCGGGATCTTCGTCTATGTTGGCCTTAACCATTGTCATCTACATTTCCCTTGTGGTAATCTTCCATGGACATGGATTCCTAAGTGAAGCGTTGCACTTTTGATGCACCTCCC